CCTCAAAAATCAAACAAGGTTCTGATGTAAATGCCCCCCCCCACCCTCCCAATTTTTTGTCAGTGATGCTGTTGCACTGGTCAGGTGCGAGAGTTCGAGTTAAAAGACACATCAGTTGTTATTGTAAAATGTCGCGGCAAAAGCAAGTCATTCACTGCTCTCACAAGCATCGAATTACACCCCGGAGTCTCAAAAACTGTTTGGGGTTCCCAGTGACGAAACCCCCACCCCATAATCATAACGCTAATTCAACCTACAGTGGTGCCTTGACATATGAGTGACTTGACTTTCATGGTTTTCGAGATATGAGTCATCATTTGGCAAATTTTTTTTTTCTTTGACTTTACACGCAAACTCGAGATGCAATCGTGACAGTGACTCAACTCGCTGCAACAAACAACACTTTGTCACATAGGCTGCAGTCAAGACTTCTTCCAGCTGTTTATTGCCACTCCTAGTTAAAATTTAATGTCAAACTAAACAAAACAAAGTGAATGACACATTGTGTATATAAAACAAGTTAAAGGCTTTGCCGTAGAAACGCCACTGCTGGCTCAATGCTGACACATAATGGGGAACTGGAATGACGTGCTAACAGATAACATCCGTGTTGCAACGTTATGACCTTTTGACAGGGAAGTCACCCCCCACCCCCAAATTTTCTTTACAATAATATGTCCGATGCAGTCCCACTGCATTCAGATTTAGATTTCATTTGTGGAATATGAGTTAAGCGGTAAAGTCCACGTTTTTGCCCATCTTAGAGAGCAGCCATTTTGTCACTGACTGTCGACTGAAAATGACATCACAGTTGCTCAGGGCTCAGGTAACGACCAATCATGGCTCAGCTTGAGAAAACAGGTGAGCCATAATTGGTTTGTTGTTGTTGTGTTTTTTTCCCCCCCCTCCATTTTGCTTTTGCTCAACTCATATTCCACCAAAGCAACATTAATAGAACATATTAGAGTCAAGGAAATTTCGGGATTGACTTCCTCTTTAAGCAGCAGATATGTAGCAGCAGCACATTTGGGAAAAACAATATGAAAGTACTGACAGGCATATATTTTTTTATCTTTTGCATCGAATGACTAATATGAGTGCCGCACAGAGGAGCTGAGACGTGCAGTATACCTGTTTGCCTGTCCTATGCTGCCCCCACTTGGCTAAAGCGAGTACACCATAAAGAGCACCACGATGGCTGTTGATCTGATGCGCTATGACAATAAATAAAGAAAACGGTTAGTATGATGATTATTTTAATGAATTCTAAACAGTTTTTTACCCTGGACAAAAAAAAAAATAAATCACCAATTAAAAAAAAAAAAAAAGTTTTTTTTTCGTTTTTGGCGAAAAAGGATGAATGGCATTTCCATTCCTTTCATTGGGGAGAAATGATTTGAGATGCTTACTGATGACTTGATTGATTCTCAAGGCACCCCCGTACAGGCAAAGCCTGTTTATTGCAGGGAATGCATTCCAGACGCAGCCGCAATAGGTGACAGCCACCAAATAGACACATTTAAAGCTATTAAAACAAACTGAAAGCCCGTGCTTGCGCCGCTTTGCTCCAGGTACTGCGGCTCCCTCCCGCATTCCAAAAATATAACATGTCAGGCTCAATGAAGACTCGTGTGTCGTTGCTTGTTGGTCAGCTCGCGCTGGAACCCTGCGGCTAGCTTGTCGACAAGTTGAGACTGGCGATCCCGTCCAGACGAGGCAGAGGCCCCTCAGGTCTGTGGTCCAAGGGGGCGGAAAGCCCCGCCCTCCTCAACCTCCTCTCAGCTCACAACCGGCCTGGGTCCCTTTGGAATGAAATCCCACCACGACGTCACTTCTTAGCAGCCGTCTGTCCATTTGAATCCACGAAGACCTAGGGGTGCCCAAGTCCGGTCCTCAAGAGCCCTTATACTACATGTTTTAGATTTGTGCCTCCTCCAGCACAATTTTCTCAAATGATGGGTTCATCGGCAAGCTCTGAGAACCTTGATCAGGATTCTTATCATTTAAATCAGTTGCGTGTGTGGAAAGAGACTTCTAAAACTGGCTGGATCGGGGATTTCAAGGACCGGACTTGGGCACCCCTTTTCACTTGGACGTCACACATTTCCACGTTTCTAGACCAGCTACAAACTGCATTTAAATTTGAATAAATCACTGACCTTCTCAAAATGCTTAACGGAGCCGTGAAGTTTTGGGTCATCTTCAAAAAAAAATGTAGTATTGATTCTAAATCATTGATGCAGGTAAGAAAAAGCTTAGGGCCAAACAGGGACCCTTGAGGCACGCCATCCGTGTCTTGACGTAATCCTTGAATATGCATTTCCGATGATCACCAACTGAATCCACGCATGCAGCCTAACCCAGTGTGAATTATTCAAGATGAACGTCGGCGTGTACACACGTTCAGCTCTGACGTCTCCTCGTGTTACATGTTCACAGGAGGGAATTTTGAAAGGGGGGTGGGGTTGGGGGGGGGTTGTCTGTGCCGCTTCTGTGTGGGTGACTTTGCAGGCCAGCTGCAGCTGTCAGAATGATGTGCTCATCCCGCCTCTCGCAGGCTTTGCGACTTACATAATAAGCCAAATGAAATGTTAATGTCAGCAAAGATGACGGCGCAACGAGGGATTTCTCAAGAGTGCGGCAGGCGGCAAACTGCAGGCGAGCAGCTGCAAGAAAGGAAGGGACCTCGATCGGTTCACGTTTTTGTCTCGAAATGCATCACTGCAAACCACACAAGATTACGACTAAAACACAACATCATGTGCAATTTCTCGGACCTAATTGGAAGCAATTGTTCCTGTCCGTCAAAGCCGCAAAGGCGCGATTTGGCGGGAAGGCTGTTCGAAAGGGGTTGTGTGTGTCTGGCTGCGAACTAAATCTTCAGCAGTGATCAACAGCTCATCCTGCATGGGTACCCGCTGACGTTGTGAGCGGTGACGGTGCTCCACTTTTTCTTCAATTAGCTGGCTTGTGTGTGGATGTGAAAGTGAAATTACCAACACTCGGTCTAACCCGCCCCCGCGCTGAGTGACCCTGCTCCCTATGAACCCCGTCGTTCGTGTCTCCGAGCTTTTCTTGTTCACTTCAAGACTGATTTCTATTCCGTTTTGCTCATGCGTTCTCATTATTTGTTTCTCTTTTATCGTCTCAAATCATGTTGTGATGAAGTAACGACGGAGAAAGCTTCAAGTTTCATATCCGCCGTCGAGCCGGAAAGTTGCTCGAGGTTTCTTCGGCGTAAGACAACACCGGGATGAGGTCAAAAAGCTTCACATACCGTGTCAGCGCTGTGCTGTTATGTATCGCTCACCAGGTGTATTTATAGAGCGGCACACAATGGCAGCGGAGGGGTGGAGGGGGGTGGGGGGGTCATCTTAAAGAGTGTCTGTCATGTGCCCCCCCCCCCCCAAAAAAAAATGCAGTCAAGTGTCGGATTCCAGTTTGGTCTGCCACTTTCATGTTCTCCAAATGAGCATTTCCCCCCAAAAAGTTCGCACTTCCCTTGATTTGCTTTTAAAATAACGAGCAGTGCTTTCCCAGAATACATTTACACAAAGCAAGCGTGATGCCGTTCCCTCTGTCAGTTTAATTGGAGTCAAATTGTTTTTTTTTTCTGGGCAACACAAAGAATAAAATGCACCAGAATTGGCTTTTTATGCGCCACTTGCGAAGGCTTCTGTCAGCGGTGGAATTGGCTTTTTGCTCCTTTCGTTTTTTTTTTTTTGTGCGTTGTTATTGAAGCAAAACTTATTCGATACCCTGAGATCAGCACGTCTTTTGCGTAGAAGATAAGGCTTAGGGGTGAGTCTCTGCTTGCCCCGTCGGTTCTGAAGGAGAGAAATGCCAACGCGTTGGAAGTCGCACAAGTTCAGGCACCAAACACTTTGAACGGGGGCGCGCGTATGTATGGTGTCAGAACGTTTACGATGCTGCGGTCGGGAGTTGAAAGTGCGCGGCGCGATTGTGAGAAAAGATGACAGGAATGCAAAAGAGACCGATGTCCAACTGGAGCCGCAAAGAATATTCGAAAGGCCGTTATCAGCCCTTATTCGGTCTTGCTGCAAAGTCGCTGTGCTGCTTGTCATGTTTCTTTTCCCCCAAAAAACTAATTTCCTCTTCTTTTTGGTCAGAAACTTGTTTTGTTTGAAACCAACCCATCATGTTCTATCGTTGATTGTTAAAGAACCTGCGAGAAACAAACATTTCTTATGACGGTCTCGTTTCAAATCACCCCCCCGCAAAAATGTGTCCATTTTAACCAAGCGGCTTTTGGTTAAAATGAAACGCGGTGTCTTCGTTGATGGTGGCGCCACAAGAGCAAATCGCAATTTTGAGGTCGCAAAAGAGCTCCGTGCGCAGGACCGCGCTGTGCTTTGCATTCTCGAACTGAGGCTCAGTGTGTGCGTGCGCCTGCGGTGTCGCGGCGCGAGAAAATGGCGTCACGGCCGCTGTTTGGAGCAGAAGGTCCCGAGACAATCGAATGCTTTGTCGCGCCTCAGCGGCGGCGGCAGTCAGATGATCAACGTCTGTGTGTCTACTGACACTCGCCGCTAAATCGCAGTCATTGTCAACGATGCGAACATAATCACGCTTCATTGA